AATGAATGTATTTCATATTTTTATTAAAAAATGAAGTTATATTTTTAAAACACTAACATTCGCCAGTTGGCTTGAAAATTGATTTGCGAACTTTGGATTGAATTCAGTAACTAATGGAAATTAACGAATTTTGCCCATTTCAAAATTCTAAGCATTCGTAAAAGAAATTTTCAGAAACTTGTCATTCGCGAAATGTTTTCACTTCGAGGCTTCAAAAAATTCGCAATTCCGATAAAGTTGTGTCACGATGTAAACATTCCAAGTCGAAATGAATACCCTTATTGAAAAATATTGAAAAATTGTTTTTGACCGTGGTACACATTACTAAACGGGTTCCAGACTACATTGAATAACTAGGCGTGCGAACTACAAGAGGCATAAATAAATTAACGGAGTCTGGTAATTAACAACCGCGATCATTTAATTTGCGGAGTTACCTTGAAATGGGACGGTTTTGATTCTGGGATCTAGAATCGACGCAATTATGTACATATCCTCCTTAAATACATTGCGTGTCACAATGTTCCTGGTTTTTCCATTTTCCTTGACCATTCTTTCCCCTTTTTCTTTATCTTTTGTAAACCTATCCGCGACCGATAAGCAAATAATTTTCTGGAACCTAGCAAGGTCATCACAGTAGTCGTCATCAGTTCCAAAGTCAACCTTCTCCGCATCTACATGTTACTGGTGACACGTAATTATTGTCAGTTAATACATTAATATATCAAAAATAAATAGGGGTGAACGCACTGTCAATTGCATCAATAAGTCCGATTAGGAGCAAAGATGAGGTTACTCCGTCGCCTTGCAAATCATCAGTTAATTCTGCAAACGGCTGCAGAATTTTAAGCATGATATTCATAGCCTTGGTCTCGGATTCCGTCAGTGTTGAGGGGAGGGAGGATCTTTTCTTTATGGTCGCCGCAATTCTAGCATCCCTTAAGGTTGCATTGATACTCTCAACAACGGACTGTAAATTTCATAGTATATTAAATAATTAACAACATAAGATAATGTAAATTAAGTATAAGTCTTTGCTCTTAGATAAGATCTCTTACAATTTCTGGCCTCGATTTAAAAATTCTTTTCAAGCAGTGATAAAGAGAATTCCATCTAGTTGTGCAAGGTGTTAAAATTCCCAACCCATTTGTCCGCTCCCTTAGTTTAGCGTACCAAAAATTGCTGCGGTGGAAAAAGTTAACAATGTCGTTAACTTTTTTCGTTATTTTTGACAGCCCTGGAACTGACTGCAAGGCATCCTTAATAGCGCATTTAAGGAGGTGCGAATTGCATCCGTTGCGGACTAATTTGTGGGGTTCGGGTGTAATAACGACTTCGTCAACGTCATCCTCCTCGGAAGCCATCTCCCAATCCAGGTCCTCCCAGTCCTCGGATTCATTATCCGAACCGCTGTCGTCATCATCATCTGTATTTTGACCTTGAATGTCTTCTAATTCCTCATTTATCCCTTCCAAATTGTGGCCGTCAATCCTAAACGCCGCCAAAATGTTCGCTGCGTTGTCAGCCTTAACTGTAACGACCTAGTAATTTTTTAAATATTTAAACTGTGAAAATCTATGTCCAGTTTATCAAGCGCGAATGTTTAAAAATAATAGTAAATTTACATCGTCAGGTTTAATTCCAAGTTTGATTTTCCACCCTTCAAGAAACTGCGCTTTGATTCCTATGACGGACATTTTCTGCTTTGAAGTCCAGATGTCCATAATAAGATGAAGCGATCCTTTTGGAAGGTTGAGGATCTGTTTACGCATTACGTCCATTACCTAAAAATTGTATTCATATAATTTTTAAAAAAATACAAAACAAAACATTTTTAATACATTGTTATGTTAATTATACATATGTATACCAATTTGCTTTTCTTTTCAAGTAGGGTGCCTATTGTTCTCCTGTGAGGAATACGTAAACGCGGATCGAACATTTTTATCATCCTGCTAAAGCCTGACCCTTGAAGAATATTTAGCGGAACCCAATCTAAGACGATAAATTCCATCAGTTTTTTCTCAAATGAATTTTGAAGAGTGTGGTTCCGTGGGTATGGATCTGTTTTATTTGGGCGACTCAGTGGGGATGAACGGGACATCACGCTATTTTCAAGTGATTTTCCTTGTTTTTCGACATCCATATTCATCAAGTCCTCGTGTTCCACCTCATATCTGACCTGAGAAGCCACAACATTAGAATATTCTTTTTAGTTTTATTTCGAGTTGTACTTTCTGTGTAGCGATAGGTGCAATCATGAATATTAAATTTACAATTTACCTTCAAATGCCTCACAAATGCAAAACTAGATTTATCAGTAATGCTAATCGGCTTATCCTTATCCTTATTGGACAATCCACACAGCTTGCAAATCATGGTGCAGAAGAGTCTTCCACCTTGTCCCTTTGTCGAGTATTTGAATTCGAAATATTTTTCAATGCCACTAACCCAAGCTCCTTTCGTCGTTAGACGATTTCCGTCGGGTGACTTTTCCACATCAAGTGCAAGTTGATCAGGGCTGGCATCATTAAAAGTTCGCTTTAACGTTGTCTGTCTGTATTTTTTAATGGAACTCATTTCAAGTCCAAAATAAATGATAACAAATTAACAGTAATTTTATGCTAAAATATGAGCTCAAATTGGAGAGTAACCGTGTGGATGGAAGGTGGGCGAAATCGCGCGGAAGGAGGGCATAATTTAGTGTTTTGCCGTTTGCTGGACTTTGCCTGTGACCCTGAATGTACCTACGTGTTTCAAACACGGTGTTTGTATGAAGCCCGTTGTCCATTCCTCTATTATTTTTTTAAGTTTAATCAGCTTAGGACGGTACGCTGATTGAACTGTACATATTAAGAAAGAAATGGGTATGCATGGTGTACAATCTTCACCTGAGAAATTTGTGTAATTTTTCCACGAATGTAAAAACTAAGACAAATGCATTTATTTTTGGGAAGGTCAGTCTCAATTTAATCCAGCTTTTGTAACCATCCAAAAATTTTGTCAGTTGGATTTCTCAATTCACTCAGTCAGAATATATTGATGCATTGTCCAGTGTTGACAAATTTTTGAGCAACGTTCGTTTTCTGCATACGTATACCTTTGATCTAATTTTACGACTAAAAATTATATTAATTGTCCATTTGCTGGCACCTATAAAAGGTAAAGCTACATCCATAGTTCATGATTTGTTCGTGATTTGGTGATGCTTTCACGGGTTCATAATTTCAGCATGTTAATCACCATAACAATTTAAAAAATCGACCAATCAGAAAATCGGAATGAAATAATTTTTGGAAAATTATGGAGTATGGATGCGAGAAACCATCAAATCATGACGAAATCATGAACAAATCACAGACTATGGGTACAGCTTAAGCAATTATTTAGTAAGTTAAATGTCGCCTGCTTTCAGTTCAGTAGCTTTTAAGTGTGTAAAGTACTGCTATTTTAGATGACACAGTTAAAGTTGCTTCTAATTACATATGTAATGAAAATGAACCAATTCAATAAACAAATAATTAATCAATGCGAAACATATTCATAGGGCCTTATCATCGTGCTCGTCACTCACCCCAAATTTCTAGCTTCTAAATTCTGCGCCATCAAAGGTTCTCTTTACTATAGAGAACATTGTAAAAAATTTGCTGGAAATTATTAATCTTGGTACAGGAATATAATGTAATTTAATTCACACAATTTTAACCTGACCTGATCAAAAAATAACGTAATTATTATTGTTCCTACTAGTTAACATGGCCGTTTCAGAAATTACACGGGAATCAATGCATGGCGTAAGTTTATATTTTGTAGTTATATAATAATTTCGCTTTGAAATGACTTTTTATGTATTTAATTTCCATACTGCTTTTTTCCAGTTGGCCCACGATTCGGTGCATTCATTAATCTGGACTATAGACGCTTCTGGCTTGATTGATCACCCGGATCGGCAATCATTTTCATTTACGGCTGGCCGTGATTTCGAAACAAAATGGGAGTTCTTTTTCGTCCCTGGCCAAACTATACACGAGCTTGCATTGGGAGTACAATTATTGCATTACGATAGAACGGAACCACCCTTTGCTGACATATATCTTTCAGTTGTTGATACTGACGCTATGTGGAAATCTGGTAATGGAATTGTTTAATTTTTAAAAATTTGTACTTTAAACATGAGTGGAGGTTTCTAATTATTTGGCTTAATGAATAACATGTTTGAACCAATTATTAATTACTAGTTACCATTACTAACAGTGCAAGTCTTTTACGTGTACAACTCAGATCTGGTTGGGACCAATTCTTTATTTTGTTCACCACAAAAAATAAGCATACCCGTATTTTTCCATTTTTCCTAATTGCGCTAATTTGGGCGCGCGGTGCGAATTTTAAACCATTTTGCAGCCAAAACCTCGATTTTAAAAAATTCTGAAAATTTTCGAATTTTGGCCGGAATCCAAAAATTCGAAAACATGTCTCGTCAGAATGACTTACTTGACTTACAAAAAATCCGCATTCACTATTTTTTGTAAAACTAAAAATTTGAAACAGTTGAGAATTCTAATGAATTTCAAAAACTGGCAAAAAATTCTGAAATTCAAATTTCGACACAATTGGATTTTTCAAGCCAAGTAAGTCATTCTGAAGAGACAAGTTTTCTACAAGACAAGAATTTTTGGATTCGCGCCGAAATTCGGAAATTTCCAGAATTTTTTAAAATCGAGGTTTTGGCTGGAAAATTGTTTAAAATTTGCGCCGCGCGCTCAAATTATCGCATTGGGAAAAATGAAAAAAACGTATGCTTATTTTTTGTGGTGAACAAAATAAAATTGGTCCCAACCAGATCCGAGTTATACACGTAAAATACTTGCATTGTAAGCTATTTTAAATTGTAAATTAATTAGAAAGTCAATAAAAATCGCTAATTAACTGAAAAGTGAATTATAAATTATGACTATGTAGCATGTCCAGCCAAATTACCAATTAATTATAAAATCTTGGATATGAATTACATTTCAGTTTCTTTTGCAGAAATCAAAATTGGTCCATTCGTCGCATCAGAATTGGGCGTACAATCGGCATGCAGGTTTTCCCAGATTACCACAATTACTAGACAGCCCCAACAACCCTTCGGCTACATTGTTGCCAACTCATCCCAACAAATGTTCACACTTCGAATCGAGGTTGGACTTCGAGTGGAAGGTTTCATTGTGAAGAAAAAGGGCTCCGCAGTCCCCAAAGCCACGATGAGGGTACTGCTGGAAAATCGTCATAAAAATTCAGACATCAGTTTTCAGATGCAAGATGGTCACAAGGTTCAGGCACATCGCTATATTTTGTCGGCGCAAAGCGATGTGTTCGAAGCAATGTTCGCCACAGATATGATGGAGAAGAATGACGGCGAGGTTGAGTTGACGGACTTTAGCGGGGAGGGATTCGAGATTTTCCTTAAGTTCGTGTACACAGGGGAGCTGGATGAAATGTGGCGCAATTATGTCGACGATGTAGTCCGGGCAGCAGATAAGGTGAGACTGACAATGATAATTATTTACAAATTGTGCAGAAAATGTTCTGCTCACATTGAAGGTCTCCAAGCGTATGCTCTCCAATTTTTAGCAAATTAGTGTCTTTCGGTTACAAATTTAAGTAGTACACAATTTGCAAGAAACAAGATCTTCCAATGGGCACGCTTGGCAGGGATATTTGCATCGACGGAGGAGAAAACATTGAATTTGGTTGTGTAAAATTTGTCAGTTTTTCGACGTGTTTTCTCCTCCTCGGATTTTCACTTTTTCTGCCTATTGGGAGACCGTGTCTTTTGCATATTTCATACTAATTAAATGTGTGATCCATTGACATTAATTGGTTCAAAATCGGAGTGCATACGCTGCGAGATCTCCATTGTGAGGGTATCATAAATTAATTACGAATTTAATTGAAAACTTCTTAATCATTTGCGCAGTACAATATTATTCCTCTTCAAGAACTTTGTGACCTTCGTCTCCCTACTCTGGTGACACGGGAAAATTTTGATGAAGGGCTGGTATTTTTCAAGTGGTCAGATTGTTTGCGGGGCCATGTCACCAATTTTACTAAATTTTTTACCATAAATTGCATATGTTCAGCAGCGACACTTATCGTATCAGTTTCTAAAATTGGTCAAACCCCACCCCCATAAATAATTAATTAGTGATTATATCCTAATATTACAATGCACAATAACTAGCCACAAAAAAGAGTTACGTCAAAACACTCGATTCATTTACCATAGCTAAATTTCTGAGGAAATTTTTTCGACCAATTTTGAGTCGGTATTTCAAAATTTAGGGGTGTAACTGGGTTAACTTTGACCTCAAAAAAATCTATGTGCCAGGATTGGGGTTCTTTAGGTTGCGATCTATATAAATAGGTCTTTAAAAGTTGAATATCATCGACGTTTTTTCAACTGAACCCCGATCCTGGCACAACGAGATAAACGAGGTCAAAGTTTCGGGGGTGGGGTCGCAAAACAGGGGCGTACTGCTTAAGATCAACCTCACAAGTCAATGTCTAAAAAATTAAAAATAAATGCCAAGAAATATTCATAAATAAATATAGGTCATCCTTGTACTTCCGGCAATCGTACGACAAGGTCAAACGACGACAATTTCGACCAAATGTCAAAATTTATGAATTCGAAATATAGGTCATTTTTTAAATCAAACTAACTTACTACCAGCAGTAAATTGTTGAACCCCTCATATAATGTAAATTTTATCGACACGTTTCGCCAAAATATTTCGACACATGTCGACAAAAAATTTCGATATGACCGTTTTTGCAAAAAACCGCAAAAAAAAATATGGCATATAATTCAATAATAATGCAATTTTTCACAATTTGAGATGTTGCACGTGGAAATAATCCCGGTTAAATAAAATGCCGGCCCTGACGAGTTTTTGAGATATGTCCGGTGTTGCAACATACCTCTCTTCTCTTGGTTGAGATTGGTGCAGGCGAGTTGAGTTGGCGAGCGAGTTGGCAACACCTTCTCGTCGACTCTCCACTCACCCACAACTATGACTTTCAGTTTCTCTGATCACTTGAAAAATACTAGCCCTGAACTCCATAAACTCTCCATGTTCCATCGCTTGCATGGGGCAGAGTACAAGATTCGGTCCTTACAGAACAGTTTACTAGGGGTTCAAAATGTAACACGATATAAGTCTTATTTTAATACAATATTTAGTTTTTATGAAAGATTGGTATTGTATGATCTTAATTTGTTTGTTTTGGTGACCCTGATCAAATTCTAAAGGGAATGTTTGAACTGTCGTCTTCCAATAAGAATTATCCAAATATATATATATATTAGAAACCGGGTATTGATTCCTTGTAAAATTTTAATACCGACCGTCTGGTATTAAACCCAGTCACGGTTTGGTATTAAAATATTGCAAAAAATCAATACCGCATACTTATATTTGGAGAGTATCAACAAGTTGATACTAATATAGTAAAAATAATACTGACTGGTATCGATTTTATACCACTTTTACCCAGTCTCAAATCTGTCTGGTATAAATACGTGCGCGGGATTTGCAAACTACACTATTTATAGTTTTCGTTCCGCTTCCAACGATGAGTTCCTCCAAATTAATTTATAATTAACAATAATTAAGATGAGGAAGAAATTGATTTCCTCAGATGGAAACTTTGGCACTCTTTTTCACGGATAAGCCCAAATTGTTATTGTGTTTTTTATTTGATCTTTCTACCTTTGATTTATAAGTAAATTAATATTATTGTTTAATTAGAGTGAAAAAATGTCGATATATTTCCCGCATTATAGTAATTACTTTAATTCTTTTATATTTAGCGAGATCGTCGACTTTACTAATTCCTATTTCCGGTCGTGGTCAAGCTAATTTTACTTGGTAAATACATTCGCAAATAGTTCTTGACGTGAATATACCTTATTTATCTTGCAGAATTTGAACTAATTACCAAATTACTTTTAATTTATTTCAGTAGGTTTCGCATAGAATTGAGAGGTAAAATTATTTAAATTGACAAAGCTATCTTCAATAAATTTGTGGCGCTGGGTGTGAATTGATTACAAATATGAGATTTATTGTACTTCTAGATCTGGTCCCTCAATCTCAACACTTCCATATTATTTTGTGTAAGAGAATTTGATAATTTTGTTGCTTTCATAAAATTACATCATTTGATTTCCACCATTTTGTAAATATTTTGTCATCCCTATTTTTTAACTTGTTAATGTATTGAATAAATAACGTTAAAATCAATACCAAGGTGTACGAAACCTTCATTTTTCTTACTGTATGGTATCATGCGTTAATACCGTATGTTGTGGATCAATACCGCAAGTCACGCATTTATACCGTCACGGTATTAATACAAATCAATACCAAAACGGTAAAGTCACATGAATACCGCCTGGTATTAATCTGGTATCGATTTTTCTAAGAGTGTAACTATCTGGATAGATGAAGGTTTAAAATATGCGTGATTTTGAGCGTTGAGAGGTTGCTAATGGCTCCTAATAAAAGAATACGAAGTGAAACTTGAAAATTTTTCAACCGGATGTACTCGAGGGGGTGGCCCACACCGATTTTTCAAAATCATCCAATCGAGCTGAAATTTGGTATGCAGGCTGCTAAAGGCCCCTAATGGAAGAATATGAAGTGAAATAGGTAAAATTTTCATATCCGGGACCCTAGGGGGTGACCCATACCGATTTTCAGAACTTGTCGCAAAAAGCTGAAATTCGGAACGGTGATACTTAATGGCTTGTCATGAAATTATATGAAGGCAAAAATGAACAAAAAGTAACCAGAGGGGCACTAAGGGGTACCCATATCGATTTCTAAGAGTTTATATATTCAGCTAAAATTTGGTGTTTAATGTTTAAAATTGAATAAATTTCGAAATTTTTATAGGGTTACTTATGTAACCTCCCCTGTTCGTGGTCTCTAGTCACGGAGAAAGAACAGTAAATTAGAATTTAGTGCCAAGTAATACTACCAACTGACGTTAGTTAATGCAAGGATTAGTGAAGAATAGTATAACATTCTGACAAATATGGGTTTGCTAATCAATCCTGGTTCGGGCTAAGCAAAGCTGTACTTATAGGTTTTAGTTTTTTGCGGATATTTTTTGCTAATATGCATATATAAACCCTTCCTGTTAAATAAAATCATCAAAAGTTGCCGAAGTTAATTTGGTCCTTCATAGTTTGTATACCACAGTGAAATCGGTGACGTAATGACGGTCACCATAATATTATTTTGGTGATGTAGCTACACCATCGTTAAAATTAAAGTGGTTAGTGGTTAGCAACAACTAACTGATAAAATTCTGATCCCCAAAGGAAAGCAAATTTCAATTATTTCGGTCACAAAGGGGTTAATGCTCAAGATAGGTCTGCGACAAAATAGGTCAGTGTGCCGTTCAATAACCTCCGTCTCAAATGATTCATTTATGACCCCGAGAAGTTGGATCTCATATTGCCAAGCATTATTCTCGTCGAGGTACAAAGATACAGAGGAGTCACAATTGATGGGCTTGTTGACCCAGTATTTACTAAGGTTACGATTGAATATACACCTAGCCGTATATGTGGAGGCCCCATCATAGATGAAACGGAGTTGATTTCATGCTATACCGTCACTTTTTGCCGTCACAATGAAAATATAAAACTCAAAACTTCATAAAATTAATGCTTGCAAGAGAAAAATATTGCTTTAGGATAATAATCAAGCATTGTTAGATTTATATGTAGTATTTAGTAAGAAGGAAATTAATAAACGCTTATCTGCTCATAAAAGTTTATGCTTTTTCTCGTTCATTTTCTTTGTTGCGTGAACTACACCAAATCACTTTAAAAATAACTTTCTTGAACTTTAACTCGTGTTTAAACGGCTTCGGACAAGATCCGACTAGTTTCGTGCCAAATTTTGGCTGGAACACTTTTCATGAGTAATCACGCACACATCAATATGCACGCATTTTCATTCTCATTAAATACGCATTTTGATCATACAATTTTAAGTGTAAATATTTTGTCATGGTTATTTTGCATTTAGGATTACTTGCATACAGGGTGCACCCCCCAGGGGTACATCTCCAGGCCCCCCCACAAGGGTAAACCCCCACCGCCCATCGGGGTCAAGGTTGGGAGTTTAATGTCTCGAGGTCAATGCCCGCAGGTCACTGCTCTCAAACAAAAGCTAAAAATAGAAAATGGTCTTGGATTGCTCAAACAATCATACTAACATTATCATTTGGGGGTAGGTAGACGAGAGATTTACATATTATGTAACATCGGAAAGATACGACTTTGTTGAACTTCAGGAAGACAATGTTCCCTTTCCCCTGCTTCTGGCGCCAATGACCACGTATCCAAATGACACGAAGATCTATAATTATTTGTCAGTGTGGCATATTGTCCTCCTCAATTTGAGTCCGCGGCATAAAAGCAAAATAAATGCGGGCAAACGTTCTTGACAAATTTACCAGAAAATCTCATTTGCTCTTCAATAAAAACTTTTGCAAAGTGTTATACCTAAAGGAAATTAAAGTTTGCAACTATGAATAGAATTATCAGAACAAATTTGTAGATGCTGATCGCAAAATGCTGGACGCAGAAATTTCGAAAATAAATAAAAATTGCATGAATTTTTTTCACCATATGTACCCACCGGGACAAGAGTTACATACATACATAGATACATACATATGCAAATAACCAGCTTCCAAATGTTGGTGCATATGTACATACATACATACATAAGAATGTTTGAGCTCCTGTCGTTTTTGTCCACGTGATGGACCATACATCAAGCATGTCTCCGATTTTAACGGAAGTGGTAGCCTAGGCGTCACATCCACATTATAATGGTTCCATTAGGCGCGTGTACATATGTATGTCGAGAGGTAAAAAAGTCCCCCATTATTGATCACATCCTTTACATCATGCGATGCGATCCCATTTCATTTACCTACTCTATTCCACGAGTCGAGCGAGTTAAGCACGCGATCCAATGAGTCATACAGTTCCTCAAAGTATGGAAGTATTTAGGGGTCGTCCATAAACCGTAAAGATTGAAATATATAAATACACTCATTGTCACCTAATGTCCATAAATCTTACTAAATAGACACATTTCCGTGTTTAGTAAATTCCGTCTCTTGCCACAAGAAAGTTGCAAATGGGGTGCCACGCCGGAATAATTGTAGAGTATGAACATGCATAAATATACACATTTGATTATTGGTCTGTTCGGCATGACTTTCCTTGCATGAATTCTGCACGGCCCGTTCATTAGTCCATTTACGTGTACATACAATACCTCCCACTGATTGGAAAAATATCACCTGCATGGACAAACAAACAGACACACTCACACACCTGGAACTTTATGGAGATATGTATGTACCTAATAATACATAAGCAGGAAAGTAAATAAGTCTAGCAAAATATTTGCACGGACACACATTGGCAACTGTTAGTTTTAAAGTTTTATTGCCGAAAAAACACTGATTAATTTTGTGTGATTGACAATATTTTACAAAGAGTACATTTTTAGAAGGTGCATAAATATTTACAAGAAGTATTAACTTGAAGACCGAAAATTTTGAAAATTCAGTAAACTTTAAAGTGGAAGTTTAACAAAGCAAATAAATATTCTACATAGAAGCGTCATAAAGTGTATCCAATACTTACGTAATTTTGTAATTTTACAAAATTTTATGTTTTACCCGCTTTTAAGTGGGTAATATAAATTTAAAAAGTTTACGGTAAACTCATTTAAATATTTTTAATGTTTCCAAAAATTATCATTTCAGAGACTCATTTCACCATGTGGACGAAGGGGAGCAAGTCCTCCCTGCCTAAAAAGACTGTTAACCTGGCTGGTTACGACGCCAAATTGGGTACCGGGTCCTCCTCCACTTCCGGCGGGGACACGGGGCTGCCTCCCGCTTCAATTTATTACTGTGCTCGAACCTTTCCCGACAAGAAATCCTGCCGCTGTTGGAACTGCCCGTTTCCGTTCGTCTGCGGCCCCAAATCCGGCTGCCCGTGTGCCGAATGTGCCGACCTTCTCGGTTTCAGAGTCAATTCGGCGGGAGATCTGGCCAAACCGGGCGGTTCCCTGGGGGACGGTGGGGACACCGCTATGACGCCACAGAACCTGTTTTACTGCGGGAAATGGAAGATGGCGTGCCGCTGTGGGACCTGCGATGGGCAGTGCGGGCCGCTGAGTGGATGTCCGTGCCACGCATGCGTGGAGTTGGTTGGGTTCAGGGTGAATCGAGACGGAGTTCTGTGCCGAAAAGAGGGTGAAGTGTGGTATTGTGGGAAGAAGAGGAAGGGAAATTGTGAATGTGGCGGGGATTGTGGGGAGAAATGTGGGGGGAGCGGACCTCGTGGGAGTGGGTGTCCGTGCGAGGCGTGTTCAAATATCGGCCAGCCCATCGAGGAGAAATTGGTTGACTTGACAACGACGGAATCAGAGCCCCGTCAAGAGGCAGGTTTGGATAAACGAATTTCTAATTGCGACATTTTGACGTCTGAGTTAGGACCAGATTTCTCCTTAGTCCCACAACCATCCGGGGAAGATGGGGAGGTCAGTGGAATTGTTACACAGTGAAATTCAATTAATGTCTAAATTTGTAAGACTCTCGTGACAATGATGTCCTCTGTTGTATCCCCTAAGAGTCTGATGTTTTTTGTAAGTTTTTTTCTATCAATCACAAATTTAATTAGTACATATAAAATTTGCCAAAGATTAATATTAATTTCGAAGCTTGTAACGTTACCTTATACACATACCTGTTCAAAGAAAACTTGTTTCATTCAATGTTCAGTCATTCCGACTTCTGAGGAGGGGAGGTTGTGTACTATTATAATACTATCATAATACATAAGCCACATGAATGAAAGTGAACAGGCATGCTTATACAAACAAATGCTTAGGTTTGGCAGAAATGCACAGATACTTGCATCCAATGGGGATAAAATAACCACGCAGCGTTTTTTAAAGTATTTAAAGTTAAGTTAAAAGCTTGTAGTTAAAGATTTTAAAGAAGAATAAATGATTGTATCGAGGATTACAATTGTCCGTAAACATATTTGAACATACTTATTTTATCTCCGAAATTGCATCAGAATAATGAACATTGTGAAAACTTGCTGAAACACCTGTAACATTAAAAATACCATCGTCACAATTATAAGTTTCTGCACTGAAATGATACCTGCACTAGTAGGTATTTATGTATTACCCCCAAAATCAAGGCGTTATTTAATTTCACGTAATTATTTAGCGAAACCTCTGTCGGATGATTGGTCAATAGGTTGTAAACTTTACTGAGCTGAAATTTAATAAAAAATAGTGTTAAATTCTGGGGAAGCACAACTCGAGATGTAGTCAAAAAAAAGGGTGGAAATTGTCCAGGAAAGTCATTTTCTGGACACAGCGATAACATTTGTTGAGCGCCTATTATGTACATAATTCTGTACGAGGAATAGTTTAGCAAGGCAAATCATAAAACCTTTGCGAAATTTGTTCCACTTCTCAAAGATTTTGGAATAAATTTAGAAAATCTGGATCCCCAGTTTCTCCGGAAAACAGGCCTTGTTATTTCGTAAACTGTTTAAAAAAATAATACGTATGGAAATGCGTACCTCTGCAAAATATGCATCCGTTCCTACCAATTCTGTGCTTTCCTTTAATTCCTCCATTCTCAGGGCAGATGCAATCGCCTTCTCCTAAAAATTTGGATACACTCGTAAAAATAATGTTACCCTTTTGAGAAGTAAATGCGGTCTGAATTCTATTTTAAGTAAACTACATATCATAAATTCAGAGGAATCTTTACTCTTTATCAAGTTAAAATTATTCCACTGTCATTTTTTTAAGTTCAAAAAAATTTAAACTATAAGAGCGCATTTGCATACTTGTCAAAAAGCTAATATTATTTTTAAGAGTGTACCTACACTGCCAATGAAACCTTTTTTTCAAACTACACCGGGATTGACTAACGAGTTATATCGAAAAACCAAGCCAAAAATTAGTAGTCACGTGACACTTATCTTTATGGCCCCTAGGAAGAAAAATATTAGGGGTCAAAGTTAACACTCCGCGCTGGATTTCGGCCGGTGGAGGAAAAAGTGGGAGAAAATTTGCGGACGTTTGAACTTTGACCTCTAATATTTCTCTTCCTAGGGGCCATTCAACGGAATGATAAGTATCACGTGACTACTAATTTTTGGATTGATGTGTCGATATAACTCGTTCGTCAATCCCGGTGTAGCTTGAAAAAAGGTTCCATTGTGAGCGTATTACCATACTGACGACTTACTCAATTTACATATGTACATACAAAGTCGTTCCTCACCTCTTTAGTTATCGCCACAGCCATCCAAACTTTCGCGTAAAGCCGGGTAATTCCAAAAATTGGCCATGACGAGGCGAACACCATCATGACCCATTCGCCCGTACTGTCGCCGACCGGATCACGCACTACGTCCACAAAAATGAAGAAGGAAACCGCCGTAATATACATTGTCAGCAGGATTAAAAGGAGCTGCTGGGTTGGGTTGCCAAGTATTCGCCACATTTCTCGCTTTGTGACCTCAGCTTGATCAAAATTAAATGGATTTTTCGAATAGGTAAAAGTTCCTCTCGGGGAGTTAGGCGGAGATCAATATCGGTTCGTATCTTTAGGGAAAATAATAAGAACATAATTTTGTCAATATTTTCGTACTCAAGGGCGTACTCGCGAGTACGACAAAGTATGCAAGTAATACCGACATATGTTTCGCAGTCTAATAAATTTCGTAAAACAATAATATTGCAAAATAATATTGCGAAATATGTACATGTATGCCTAGTTGAATAATAATTGGGTCAAGTCGCATAGTTTTTTTAAAATTAAAATTGCTGCAAAATCGCATAAACCTGGCAAGTTATCTGCATTGCTCAACTGCAATCTGTGTCATTACTCGATTTCTGGAACTGTACTGCAAAAACGGAAGACTTGCAAGGTGCAAAAGGCAGTGTAAAAAGCGCACTGCGGAAAGAACGCAATGTACAAAAAATGCAACAAAAATTCTCAAATTAAAAGGCCACCCTTTATATATGCTTATCAATAATTATTTATTTATTTGCATAATTAACTTTGAATAGATATTTAGAGACTCCTTGCATGCTGGATGAAAAAAGGTGGGGTTTAACGTACGCGTATTAGCTCATGGTTCTCACAGACAGGCAGGATAGGTAGGACAGGTAGATTTTAACTGGGTAGGTTGGGATAGGATTAATTCACATTGCTTTTGGATTTAGGATTAGGATTAGTGGAGTGAAAATTTTTCGTCTGGATTAAGGATTAATTTCCGACAGAACCGTTGTGGCATTCCAAATTTTATGTAAGTTTCAGTAAGTTTTAATTGACGATGCTGTCTAAGGTTCCATTTGGACAGTTACAATGCATAATACTACTTATCATATCAGTAGCGTTAATGCAAATCACTGGGTTGGAGAAAACACGTATCACTCATCAACATGTACCGTACCGGAGTCTTTAGCTCTTTAGCTTTAGGAGTCAGCTTCTGCCTTCTTCAGGCACTGACTATCCCCAAGTAGACAACTATCCAGTACGCTAATGTTGATTTACCAAAAACTCCAACCACAACCTAATATTCGAACCAGGGACTTCTGCGGAGAGAGATGGATGCTCTAACCACTCAGCTATGGCCCCGGCCTCTGCATGCTGGATGAAACATATTTGTTGCATTTTTTGAACTCGTGGGAGAAATTATGCCAGACAAAAACAAATTCATGCGTAGTTTCTATCATGGCAAAAAAACACTGGCTGTCTAAAAACTGTATATTTTGAAAAATATTATGATTTACCCGGTGAAATCCTAATTGCAAACATTTCAGCATCACGAGCGCCTTTGAGTCTTCAATCGCGTAGGAAACGTACGGCATAAATCCATAAATTACGGTCAGAAATGAATAAATGACATAATCCGGGTTAATCTGTTCGGTGACGTCCAAAATCCCAAAGATCATGCTAGGCACGAATTCAAACAAGGGGATGAAAATATACACAAATCTGCCCAATTTCACTTCCGTCTGGAAGCCAATCTGGTTCATCTCGTCTTCAATCGTGTTCCAATTATTGAGCCAATTCGCCAACTCGGGAGCTTTAAGAAACCCGAAAAAGTAATCGACAAAGACGATATATGCAGACCACGTGGCGATGGAGTTGATCAAACTGTAGAGAAAATCGGTGACGCGGCCCTTGACAACTTCATCCGTTGGGTTGGACGGAGGCCACCTAAGAAAAAAAAATTGACCCAAATTATTCAAGTTTGACCTATATACACTCAAAAAAAACTTTGTCAAATCAACACCGCCGGTGTCAATATATGCCTTAACCGCCTTGGTTACAATTGTGATTCCGAGTGGTAATGAAATTTTTACGTCGGGTTGTAAAAATTTCATTACCACTCGGAATCACAATTGTAACCAAGGCGGTTAAGTCATATATTGACACCGGCGGTGTTGATTTGACAAATTTTTGTTTTTAGTGTACACTATAATAATTTGTAGACAAATCGTCATTCGCAGAGGTACTATAGTGATCGCTACATTTTTGGGTAACGATTTATGTATGTAGGAGACGTCTTGTTACCAACGGGAAGTACATGTAAGTCAAAAACTCTGGTATAAAATATGCGCACGTGATGTCGTACATGCATAATTTTAAAAAATGACCAATTTGATACAGAAAAACGTTATAACAAAAATCTCATTTTTTTTAATAACGACGTCACGTGTGCTTTGACTTATTTTCCCTTTATGAGATAACGTCTCGGTAAACATTTCCCAAAAATACGGCACTATTCATAGTTCCTTCCTGTGCAGGTAAAAATATTCCCCAAAGTTATTTAGAGTGTAACGTACATATAATGGATAAAGAATTGTTGCGTACATTCCTCCCGAAGGAAATACATCGTGTTGAAATTTCAATATAGCAATTGCAAATACAGCGTTCAGTAGTAGGGCAAGAATTAAAGAGAGAAAAAATGAGGTAGTCGTCAGGTTGAAACTGTATTGAATTTTAGATTTTTTAACAATAGTTTCAAACCCTATTGGACATCGACCAAACCATCGGGACAGCTTGAGGAACGGGCCGAGCTGCTGGGTAAATCCAGCCGAGGGAAGACGTTGATTTAGTCTTGGTAAAATTTTGGAACACATTATTTGGTTTCGAAAAGTTGTAAATTGAAATCATTAGCTTATTAGTTTGAGCACTGGGGAAATGTAGATCCGTAATGTAAGCTTAATATACTTTAGATGTTCATCATCGAAAACAAATTATGATTTTTTCAGCATTATTATGTATAAGTAAGCATTCGAACATATGTACTATGAGGCCACGCAGGATTGAACTTTGACAGAAATTGAGAATTCTGAGAAACTACTCCACTGCCAGTGTCAAAGTTCCCCGTCAACTTGATTTGAGTGTATTTGAGACTGGCAGTGGTGTAGCTTCTCAGAATTCTTAGTTTTTGTGAAATTTCAATCCTGCGTGGATTTAGAGTATGTAAATATGTTCAGTCCGACAGTGGGTTTCCGTGAAAATTTAAAGGGTTACTTTTAATCCACCAGACTTTTAATTGAAATCGCATTGCGAAATATATTGAAATCGCATAACTTGAATTTGCAGTGGTTTAATTCAGTTTAAAAACTGTAAAATTGAAATCTGCCAGACTTTTCAAAAGCATACATTTTATTCAATTTACCTTTAAAACATTAAAGAAAACATGTATAAGTTCTTTAAAATCTTCTCGAAATAAATTTTAATCAGCATGTAGTGCCCTTCGGGCTTTCCCGGGGCGACCCTAAGGCGCTTTGTCCCCAAAGGAACGGTTACGGCGTCATTTCTGACAGTGCAACCTTTCTGTATTTTTACAATTCCGATGAAATGTTTACAAATGTTGCAACCTACAATAGTCTGCAAATCAAACTACATAGACGGAGTGTTTGACCACCCTGAGTTGCTTAAGTTTTAAAATTAGCTCACTAATGACTAACAATGGAGGTCT